AAAAAAAATTATGTCCACAAAATCATAGAATACAAAAACAAACTAACTAGGAGTAAATGGTTTCCTAGCCTTGCGGTTTCGGGACCCTCTCCGAGGCCCCAGTTGCAAAGAAGACGATCCTGCGGTCGGTGCAGGCGTGGTTGGTTCTTCTTCTTCTTGTCCATCTAATTAATTAATTTTTGTAAAAAATCAATAATTCGACCGGACAAATAAATAAAAAGAAACAAAAAAAATATATATATTTGTAGTTAAATAAAAAAATCTCACCTTCTTCGTGGTCACGGCGTCTTCTCCCTCCACCAATGTGGGGGGCCGGTCTATGCCTCGCCCGCTGAGAATGTGTTTGCTGGGGTGGGGCGTACTCATCTTGAGATAGAATTTGCTCCGACGACGCCCCTTGTGTGACCGACTGACCCCCAACAGTCAGAGAAGCGTACAGAAGTTCCTGGGCTTGCTGGAACTGTGACTGCGCTCGGGGAGGTAGCGTATCAATGTCTTCAATGTTCGTTAGCATGTTATACGCCACCTCCGTACCCGAAAACTGCAAAATTAAATTCAAATAACTATCAAATATTAAAAATAATAATAATAATAATAATTACTTCATTGAAGACAGTTACCTGACACTTCCCCCGGTCGGCATATGGCTGAAACCCGCCGTCCTATGAGATCGCCGCGTAGTTGTTGGGGTCATTGTATAGTCTCACAGTCGTACTGTGAAACCAATCAATGTACCCATCTGCCGGCTGCAGGAAGGGATCCACCGGGACATCTTGGAGGACGTTCTGATCTCTCTCTTCGGTCCAGATCCTCCCAAGATCAGCATGGAAGGCCTGCCAATCGGTGTATGCCCTCCCAGTCATGCCCTGGCCCTTGTGGCGGGTGTCCCAGTCGGCCAGACTAGTAATGAGCGGCTGTTGGGGGATGGGCTGGTGGCACCGAAACTGGCGGAGCACCCTATCAGTCTCGTGGGGTTCTGCGATGTTCCAGCAGAAGATCCACTCCTTGTACATCCAGAGATGTCGGTCTCGTGTGCACACTTCCGGGAGCCGACCCTCGTCTATGTACGTCTGATAGGGTACCCAATCGAACTGTGAAGAAAAAAACATTTATAGAATTTTTAATAAATTTAATAAAAAAATAGAATTAAAAAAATAATAATTATTTATTATTATGACCTAAGAAACTTACATCAGTCTCTCTCAGGCCACTCAGCTGATCTCGGATGGCAGCCGTGCCCGTCACCAGGTGTCTCATGTCCCTCGATCCCACCCACCTTAAAAATCACAGAAAAAGTTTTATTTGTAATTACAAATTTTGATAATTGAAATAACTTAAGTGTTGAATATAAATAAATGTTATTATTACCTTGCACCCAAGGGACAACCCGCCTGAGAGCTGAAATGTGTTCTTGTCATTAATGGGCGAACACGAGGGATGCGTTCCCATGCCCAAACCTGCACATATGGACATATACATTTTTTAGTACATATTATTGTAATTTACAATAAATAAAATTAATTTTCAATTAACAAGTAAATAAATTTACCTGAATCAACTGCACGCAGCTCTTGATATATTTTTCCCGCGTCTCGTAGGCGTCGCAGAGCGCTCTATATACCCCGGCCAGAAGCGCTCCACCCCAGCTGTACCCCGGAATGGCATCGATGTCATTCAACAGGGACAACCAGTAGAGGTTGACTCCGTTGGCCCGATGGTCGGGGAAGAAGAAGGACCCAATACACCAGAGTATCAGAGCTCGCGCCCTCTTCTCGTACTCTGATGTAGGGAGTCCATCCTCCAGAGGGCGCTTGCACTCCTCTTCCAGACTACTAAAATACAAGCACTGGCCATTTATATCCCAAGTCTTGGAGTCGTAGTCCTGGACCCCGTCATCCTTGAAATACGTTTATATATATATTAAAAGCGACCCATGACTTAAGTATATAAACATAATAATAATAAAAAAAATTAAAATAAACAAATAAAAGTTTTAGGTAAAAATATACCTGTACGTATGGGAGGTACCCTAGAGCGTCCAGGCAACGACCTCTCCACTCTTGGAGAGTCCGATGTACGGTCTGTCCCCAACACGCATCCCCGCTGACGGGGAGGCCAAAGAGTATCTGAACGTCCTGGAGAGTGATCGTGGCCTCCCCGAAGTCGAAGTGGAAGGTGTGCGTCTCCGGACGCCACCTCTCCAGAAGGCATGTAATGAGAGGATTGTTTGTCGGGACCCGCCCCATCCGAAATAAAGGCCCGAATCCGGCCTTGTCGATCGCCTCCCATGTCCGGGCATGCTGCTTGTTGTCCTCCAAGGCAGCCCAGAACTGGGTGTCCGAACGGCGTGGCTTAACCACGCCGTGGCGAATCCCCGGTGCGTCCTCATATATCGCCTTGGATCGGTGGCGGTTCTGAAGATATAGAAGTGACGGATCACTGGGGCCGGGGTGTGGGGTGTAGGGTCGAGGGTTCGAGGATGACGAAGCCATTTTCTGAAAAAATGACCGAGATTGTACCAATTGTTAATTTTGAAATGACCGAGATTGATATATTATCTAATAAATATTATTCATTTTTTGTGTATCTAATTACGCAGATCGTGTAATTTCGATTGATTTATTCAATTATAATTTCTTATCAAATTATTATAAAATGGCAGTTTCTATTTAATTATTTTTAATAACAATTTTTGGGTAAATTCATAAATACTATCTTTATATTTTTTTAATACTATGGTCGATTCTTCTTTTTAATGAATATTTGTAATTTATATATATTAATGAATATTTTTCTTACACGTGCATCGCACGGGATTCGTTGGCTAAATATTTTTCTTACACTCCTCTTCAATTTATATATATTAATGAATATTAATGAATATTTTTCTTCGAGCTGGTCCATGCAGGAGCTCGTTGGCTAAAAAGTCGGCGATGACCTATGATGAGGTTCTGATGAGTTTAATTGTCTTTCTTTCCGAACGGTGTGCAATGTTGTTTGCTTGAGAAAAAACAAAATGTTAAGTGTGGGAAAATTGTTGTGTACATTCTATTGAGTCTATTTGAGCTCGTTTTATAGGTTTTTCCAGTCCATTAGGTTGTTTTTACTTGTTTATGTGTTTTTGCAATATTTGCGTGTTTTGTGTATATTAGCATACTTTTATGTTTAGATTTTTTTGTAGGAAAATGTCTTGGATATTTTTTTTTTTTTAGAATCATTGCCGAAATAGCGCAAAAAAATTACGGGAATAAACCTCACGCATCGAGTGAAGTTCGAGGAATGCGAACCGAGTGTTTTGGAAGCCATACGAGGGTTGTCGCACCGGAATCGCGTGCGGGATCCCCCCTCGTGCAGAATAGAGGCTTCTAGACCCTCTTACACATTGCGCCGTCAGACGTGTTGCTGCGCGACCGAGAACTTGTCGCGCCTGCGACGTTCGCGACTCATCATGCCCTTGACGGGTCTCGCGCTCGCGACATTGTCGTTTCGAAAATGTATCTAGACAATATTTTGGCCCTATTTTAAATCCATACTTATGGAGACTCGTGCAATGCCATCAGATTATCCTTAAACACATCAAGAACAACTCAGGACTGATTCCAAGGCTCTCGGACACCAAAAATTCACTTGTAAATATAGTTTTGTAGAATTTTCTCCATTTTTCCGTTTCCCTCGTGTTTGAATTCTTGAGATATATTGTGTTTGGACTAAATTCTTGTAATTATTCAATCGATTGTAAGTTTTTATTTTATGCTTATCATTGTTAATTGATAGGGTGTTTCTTGCACTCGATAACATGAATTCAAATTCAAACATGAGGTAAGTCACCCACTTAGGACTAGAGATTTTTATTATTTTAAGCGAGATTTACCAAACATACCATTAATTTCTCGACCGACATACTCTTAGATTATGCTTCGTAAACACAATAAGCAATCTTATAGCTTATTTAATTAGTTTATAAGCTTCTGGTAGTAAATAAGCTTGTGTTGATTGAATGAACTTTTAAAAAATGCGACAACTTATATAATAAGCTTGTTTATGTAACTTGTAAAAAACACCCGTTGAAAATTCCATTTCAACTGACATATCAGCTAATCTTATCAAATACTTTTAGGCTATGTTGGAATGTAGTTGAAAGTTGATAAGTTAGTTGATAGCTTTTACGTGAATTTCGAACTTATAACTTCTGACCGATATAGCCTGAAAAGTTAGTTGATAGTGTTTGGTAATTTTTGTTAATAAGTCAACTGAAATAAAGCTTATAAGATAAGCTTTAATCTTTTAAGACAACATGTCCTACTAAACCAAACTTATTTAAATACATGAAGTTTATAAGCGAACTAAATAAGCTATAAGCTAGTTTATGATATTTACTAAACACGCTCTTATTATTATATCAGCTATCTTTTCAACTACATGTCATAAAGTTACAAACTCCAAATTGACTAAATAACTTACAAGCAATAACTTAACTTTTGAGGTAGATTTATCAAACATCCCTTTTATATATAATTACAGAATGTGCTGAGCTTAAGTGACAGTTTCGCATGCTTAGTAATCTTATTGCGGCAAGATATTACACTTTATGATATGGCTCAAATAAACTTAAAAAATATTGCTATACCAAACAATTTAGATTTGGATTGATATAAACACACATATTTAATATATTTAAACTATTCTACATAAATCTATTTATTATCATCTTTCTATAATGTGCATATTAATGTATTATCTCACTTTTCAAATTTTATGTTCTGCCCATATTATGCTCTTATGTGTTTTAAATAAAATATTTATAAATAAAACTAATGATGTATATAAATTAGTTTTCAAAATTTAATTAATATTTTTAATTCAGATAGATTTTTTTATTATTAATTGCTATAATATTGTTCCTTGTTTATTTTTTCCAATTTGAACAAAATAAATTGTTGTGAAACGATGACAATACGAATTAAAGACGAGAAAGTAGACAATACAAGATTTACGTGGTTCGGCAATGTGCCTACGTCCACGGCGGAGGAGTGATCCTTTTATTATTCACGATAATCCAAATACATCAATACACCATGTATTTATATTATAATCCTACAAGGTATAAATTTACTTAAATACCCCGTATCGTACCGCGGGGCCTCCGCCCCCGCACCCCCGACCCAACTAATCGACCCAGCCTAACAGGGGCTGATGCCTGCTCGCTCCACTCGGTCGCTCTCTTCCCTCGCTACGCTCGCAAACATTAGCATGCCCCCTTCCTTTGTCAATATATAAGCCATACCAACATATATAAACAATTTTTTATTTCATTTGTTGTTGTATATTCAATTATTTTATCAAACACACGTGTCGTACATGGATATCGTACTAGTATCCTTAATTTATGAACAACAACATGAAAAAAGACAAAACGCGACTCAATATAGCACAACCAGCCAGGTGCTCAACTTCAGTAGAGTCTAGACTAGAGAGATATAGATGGTGTACAAGTGGTGGATACCAACCAAAATATAGTAGATAGATAGATAACACAAAAGTATACTTCAACACAGATACAATTAATTAGGTAGATATACTCGATCAAAATTCCCAATAAAATAACTAAGACATTTGTTTAGTGTACAGCTCCTTCTTGTTCCTTTTGCATCCATGTCTATGTATTGAGTGTCTCCAAGTATTCAAGAGAGATCACTTTACAAAACGATGATGATCAATCCAAAAAGTGAACCAAACTCCACCTTCCCTGTCCTCTTTAGAATCAATTAGCACATTTATCTAAGCCATCCATCACGCTATGTTAACTTTCAATAAGAGTTCCTAAGAGCTTCCGCAATGCTGCGCCACATAGCCCATCTCTACTCTATTGTAGCGAAAATCTCTCCCCAATGCTGCGCCACAAATTAGCTCTATTTTGGAGAAAGCTACAGTGTTGCACCACATCTGGCGCAACACTGTAGCAGCGTTACATTTTATTTTATTTTTTTGCTTTCCTTTTATTGTAATATTATTGATAAATTTTTGTATAATGTGTATTAGTGAATGTATTTTTTATGCTAAATAATTGTGTAATGTATTTTTTATGCTAAATAATTTTGTGCTTTTTATTTATTGATGTATTATAATTTTATTTTGCAATTTTTTAATATTAAAATGATACTATATGAATAAAAATTTAACACACTCAAACAAGTCTATTTCATTAAAATTAAGTTTACAACACACATAAAATCATAGAACATAAATAAAAACAACATGATTAAAAATGACTTAACACACAAATAAACACAACATGATTAAAGATGACATATATGGTCTAACCATATATGGTCTAGTGTGTAAATTTGCACTAATTCATATATGGTCTATACCATATATGGTCTAGTGTGTAAATTTGCACTAATTAATATATTTTCAAAAGTAACAGTTTTGATTCAATCGGTACATAGATGTATATGTATCTTCTTTAAGAAATTCAATTTATTATAATTATTTTTTAAATGTGAATATATGCTCTAAACCATATATGGTCTAGTGTGTAAATTTGCACTAATTCATATATGGTCTAAACCATATATGGTCTAGTGTGTAAATTTGCACTAATTATTTACTATTTGGGTAATAAACATTTATATAATATTACATATTCATATATATAGCAAATTATTCGAAATAAAATATATTTTTATTATTTGAGTAATAACATTTTATATAAGATTAAATATACATATATATCAATTTATTTGAAATAAAAAATGAATAAAAAAATAATATATTTAATATAGAGTAAAATGTAGAGATAAGGGCTGGAGATGAATGTTTTAACTCTACTCTAGAGTAGAGTAAAGTCCGCGTTAGAGTAGAGATAAGGGCTGGAGATGGCCTAATTGTAAAGAGGACGGAAAGCAGACAGCAAGACCCCTCATTACATATGACAGTTTGGAAACACAGAAGAAACAACGTACACTCCCCATTTATTTCAAACTAGAAAAAACAGACAAATAAGAAAACAGAGAACAGTTAAAATCAATTTCGTCAAAAGTAGGGCAATGCGGCCATGCCTGAGAAAGCTGGGTGAATCCCGCAATCAAACAAAGGAGGGAAACAAATAGACAAACCAAAAGTTTTATTTAACAATTAAAAAAACCCTACCCAACAGGCTACAATTCACCTCGGAAGCATTATAATGAAGAGAAATGGAGCTGCGAAACGTACCAATAGGGTTTTTTTACCCCCCTTCACTTATAGTAGACGAATTCCTCTTCAACGAAGAAGAAGTTGGTTGCTCAGTTGAAGCCATTGCTGCCCTACTTCGAAAACTTCGGCTTCCAATAACCAAACTTCTTTTACCAATTTTATTATCGACCTGCTCAATCGAAACAGAGATAGAGAAGACGCTTAATTACAGTGAAGAAACTCTTGCGACAAACTAGTTTAGCAAGATTACCGGCACGGCGACTTCACAACTCGTAAGGGCGATTCATGAGTCCTTTCCATTCACAAATTTTTTAAAATATAATTAAAAAAATAAAAAATAAAAAATAAAAAACAAAACATAAAAAAAGGAAAAATATAAAATTAATTAGCCGACCACAGTGGGAGTCGAACCCAAGACCTTCTGATCCGAAGTCAGACGCGCTAATCCACTGCGCTATGCGATCGTTTTACATAGCGTGTCCACAATAAAATAAATAATCCAGAAAATGAAATAAACGATCGAGTTAACCTTTGTAACTAGATGCATAGGACAATATTAAATTTATATTTTTTAAATTAAATAAATTAAATGTTGAACTATAGTCACTATACCAATACAGTCAGAAAGTTACATTGACTATTATTTTGGTTCAAATATATATTATTAAAAAAGATGTGTAAATCAGATAGTATTAAACATTTTTTTTCCTGATTTCATAATTAGGAAAATCTTTAGTTACCACAAATAAATATTTTCAAGTAACTTCAAGTAGTGACACGAAAAATAACCATAAATAGTGCACAGTGAGTCCGTGATTGAAAATCAATTTCTTCTAGAATATAGAGATTTATCATTTTCACATGAGCTTGGTTACAACATTTTTAACTCATAGATTTATTTGCAAACCTAAAATGTAGTTGTTGTCACGTAAAACAGTAATTATTCTTAGACTCATAAACTCATTCTCTAACATGTAAGAATATTCTCGAAATATTTATTTTTACATCAACTTTTCAATACTGCCTACAAATTTAACAACTTTATATAGATTCAGTCCTATTACTATTCTCTATAATAAAACTAATTATATAAGACAATAAATTGCACATAAATCAAATAATATAACATTAAATTATTTTATTAAATAATATAAGAATAAAATGTAATTGGCATAATTGTTTTACACATGACATTCAACAACAATTACAAATCAAAAACATTATAGAAAGATAATGTTACTTGAATTTATTAATAATCATTTGTAAATTATAGTCTATCTATATATAAATTATTCAAATGTGTGTGTGTGTCGATATTATCTTTTGTCAATATATTGATTTTATTTGTATATTTTATAGTTATAATTATAGATTGTATGTCAATATTATTCATCATTGTATTTTCCTTTTAAATAATGAAATGTAAATAACATTTTGTTATTAAAACAAAATAATAAAACTTGTAAAATATATGTAAATAAAATAGACTAAGTAATTGTCATAAAATAAATCTTATCATTGCCAAATAAAAGTCCACTAGACAACACCTATATACTATAGGTTATTGAATTAAAAAATATTTACATCAAAACATTTAAAAGATAAACATAAAAATTTTATTTATTTTTTAAAAACTTTAAAAATTGCATTGTTGATTTTAAAATTACACTAGAGTGTTATACATGAACATAATATTTTTGAATTGTATTAGTTTTTTCAAAGTTTAAGGAATTAGTTTAGTATCATTATGCTAAATTTTACTTTGTATAATAGTAATTATGACAATTAACGTCTAGAAGTGCCGCATTGGTGAAAATTGTGGCGAACAAGTGCCGCCTAGCCTGATACTTAAAATACTGATTCCAAGCGGCAATTTTAAACTCATCGAATACTTACACGAAAATTGGTATAAAATATAAATACACAATAATTATATATATAAATAAGATATCATATCTGCTAATTACCTTAATACACTTAATTAACAGCACAATTTGTAATAATCAACATGCTAATTCACTATGATCTTAGGCATTTTGTTCGGCCTAAATGAAACGCAAATTCATATTAGGAGACTTAATCTTAATTTCTCTTATGAGTCCCTATTGTAGCTTATTAATAATATTATTATTTCTGCAGCATAAATAAAATTGACACGCAAGTGAGCTATACACAAAAACACACGAGTTCAAAAAATTGAAACGTGCGCGAAGCATATACATTAGGCGACTGAGGTGCTTGGAGGATTGTCACTGAAACAACGATCGAGCAAGTGTAAGAATACAACAAAAGATCAGAGAGTTTGTCTAGGCTTCAAACAGATCCCATTGACATGTCTTTTTAAGAGTCTTTGTTATCAATAAGTTCAGCAGTCATTAGTCCTTAAATTCGTAACGCTTAGATTTATAGTCTTTGCCGACCAAACACACGAATAAAGTTAAGTATCCGATGAAGGATCCAATGCAGGAAGTGGTCTAGCTGCCAACGCTACCAAAAATCTACTGAGCTGGGATTAAACTTAAAGGTGAACAGATGATCTCATAAGATATTAATTGTAGACGCCACATAAATAACTCGAGTTATGAACATAGAAAAACACCAGGGTTTGTGAGCTCATATGGTTCAACAAACAATCCCAGTTTCTAACCAACCTAAACTAAGCAATGAAACCTCTTAATCATAACAGTACAAATTCATAGTCTTTTTCCCCATCACTCAGCAATGATATAGTTTTGTAGACGCTCCAAGAATCTCTTCATCTGGGATACTGTAAATCGAACTTATAAGGAAAGACCGCACTCGATATGCAACCTACAAAATTAGTGAGCCNAAAATGGTTAGTCAGCAAAAGCTGGCTATAAAACATTTCATGTACTCCGCATCTATGATTTCTATACATACTTCCAATCATATGCCATACCAAGTGAATAATTTCGTTTCACATAATCAAAACCCGAATCCTCAAGGTAAAACACCACTACGGACTTCAAGAAGCAAATCAACTCCGATCAAGATATTGCGTGGCATTAAACTAACTAAACAAATAAAGATGCTCAATCAGGATCCTTTGTGAAGGAAGCTCGAGAAGAAATAGACAACGCATTTATTTGTAGTCGTGATCATCAATTATGGGCCATAATGAAAATGCAGAAGTTTAAACCTGGAGAGGCTAAGTCAAAACACTCATATACGAGGAACCCAAACAATTACCATCATCGAAATTTCCCTCCCACAGTCTAAGTTCACTTACACCATCTCCATACTATCAAATTCAACAATGAGGAGGAGAAGGCAAAATTACATACTAAAATACTTCTTAATTGAGGGTTGAGACTTGAGCAGACATTCACACAATCAAAAAACAAGAACAATAACGGCAAACGGAAAATCAACCTTACCTGATTAATTATTCCCACTAGACGAGAAGTTTCTCTCTGCTGGTTCAAAACCTCCGCCAGAACCCTGATTAAACCCACTCTGCCCGGAAGACATGTGGGCCCGGAAATTCTCTTGCTGAAATTCTTTCTGTCCTTGACCTTCAGCATAGTTTCCCTGGTATGCACCATTATTACTGTGCGGCATAAAGCTTCTTTGGTCCCCAGTCCCTTGTGGGCCATAATTTTTCTGGCGCCCATAACCTTCTTGCCCACGTGGCGCATAGTTCTGCTGTGGTGGCGGACTGTAGTTCTGCTGTGGTGGCGGACTGTAGTTTTGCTGAGGTGGCAGGCTGTAGTTCTGCTGAGGTGGCGTACTGTAGTTCTGCTGAGGTGGCAAACTGTAGTTCTGCCGGGCCTGAGGCCCGATGTCCTGCTGTGGAGGGGGCCTGTAGTTCTGCTGGGGTGGTGGGCCCTGGTTATGAAGAGGTTGTCGGTTGAAGTTCTGCTGGGGAGGTGGGCCCTGATTATGGTGAGCTGGAGGCCCGTAATTCTGCTGCTGCTGCCCGTATTCTTGTCTACCACGCCTATTCCTGTTATCGTGTCTCCCATATTGCACGGGAGGTGGTCTAGGGAAAATTTCTCCATTTACGTACTTGTCTCCTGTAATATCAATTGATCAACCCATGTTTGGTTATTCATGAGGCGCATTGATTCAAGACTGCAGCAAAAAGTTTAGTTTCAGTAGCTAAAGGGAAAAATCTAACCTCCGTATTCCTTGTTCACAGGATCAATGTACGAGTCTGGCAGTACAAACACAACCCCCTGAACATCTGGAGACAACAAAAATCTCCAAAGTGAACACAACAAGTGTAAATTTAAAGGTGTTTGTGGGGGAAAAGGAAAAAAACATGGAAAGCCTACCGTTAAACTTGTGGGATGTTTCCTCTGAACATTTAACCTGGAAACCCTCGTAAGTTGTCGTGCTTAATGCATATATTCTCTTCTTTGCCTCCTCCACACTGGACAATAATTCATCAAAACGAAAAAGATTTAACAAATCAAGGACTGTACAACTTAACTTTGACATAAAAAGTTTTAGAATAGAAACATAGACAAACAGTTCGTCCCAAGCAATTCATTTGTATCCCTACAAAACATACACAGACGCACTCCACAAGAATGCAATAATTGAAAATATCCAATTTCTTGCTCTGACACCCTTGATCAACCTTACTGCAAGCAGATGATTAGATCAATTAAAATCATAACACCGCAACATACCACTTGAGAATGTTTAGGTCGCTAAAGTATTAAGCTGCATAAAATTCTCCTGCTACAAACCCAAAAGTTTTCTCTTTGTTGCCACAACCAAATAAGCAAATGTATAGGAATATAAGCAACCAACAGTTTATAATACCAGTTTCCCCTAAAATGCAATTATAGTCATGAAAATTCTTGAACACAAAATTCTCTCCTGTATCTCCACCAATATAATAAGTTAACTAAATTATGATTTTCAAATATAGCAGTTCTTGAACAATAAACAATATCTAAAGAAGCACAAAACTTGAGCCAAATCCTCAACGTCTTAAAGAACCTTAATATAATTATTCCACAACTCTCTTTTGAATCATCTGGTATATGTCCCACCAATTACATTACGACATTTTTTAATCTACATCTTCCAAACATCAATATTTTGTACACTGTCTGGGACATATGTAAAAATCTCAACTTACTATGAAATTGAATAAAAAGATTCACCATAAAAGTAGAAGGAAAAAGGAAACAGTTGGAACAAATAACAATTGTGGATGAAAGGAATTCCAGAAGACTAAAACATAGCTGCGGATATATGTTTACCCATTAACATAATTCACATCCATATCATATCTGTGCCTTTGCCATAATCACATGAGTGATTTACCATTAAAGAAACCAATTTGTGCTTTTACAACAAAAAAATACTAAAACTTTACATTCCATAAAGCTGTTGTAATGCCTTCTTTAACCTGATTGCAAACCTATGCATATAATAGAAAATAAATAGAACAGATATCATCATACAGTTACAAAACGAAAAACTGAAAATGAAAAGAAAAAAAATGGAGAACTAAAGAAACGGAGAAATTTAAAATCAGGAAGTAACTGCTACGGATGATGGAATGAGTGAACTTTGAAATGAGTGAGTTTATTGTCTAAGAACAATACATTTCTATTCACTACCTTCCTCCAATATCCATATTCCGCAGCAATCATACCGATCGATGCACAGATGTCGATGTACACCTACTAATCATGACTCCCCCTTCTTCAACATATTTGCAAGATATTTTAGGAATAACAATCACTTTCTAATAAGCTTAAAAAAAAACTTGAAATATTAACACAAGTTATTTCTGGATTAAAGGCTGCTCCATGTATTCAATTTAAAACGGCCACTACAAGAAAACAACGAAAAAATGGTTGCAAAAAAAAAGAAAGAAAATAACAAAAAACAAGTCAGAAGGCAAAAGATAAGATTGAACAAAGCAGGCGCTAAAAGAAATAATTATGGCCGGGCGGTAGTGATTGACCTGCCAAAAACTTGTGCAGCTATATTGACATATGTCTCAATCATTTGCTCTCGAGTAGGTTTGGGATCCTTGGGAAAATCCACGGTGATGAGCCAGTGTTCATAATCGCATCCCTCGAAGATAATGGTGTCGGGCCCGATTTCTTCGGTCTCCGGGTCAAACACCTTGGCGAACAGTGTAGAGGTCGACGTGAAAGTCCGCGTCAATTGGGTGGATGAGCGGTTTACGGCGGCGGAAGGGCCAGAGGCGGATACGGGATATTGTAGAATACGAGAGGAGATTGAGAAAACTGGTTTGGGCTGATGAAGGGAGTGGTGAAGGAGGGAGTATGAGAGGGAGATAGCGCGGCGGAGGCGGAGGGCCATGGCGGTGGTGGTTGCCAAGAGACTGGACTAGAGCTGTAGAGGTCTAGGGTTTTTTTCGAGTTACTGAGAATGGTATTTTAGAAAGAAGAATCGTATGTGATTTGGGATAACGTTCTAATTAAAAAAATTGAAAATTGATACGAGTAAATAATAGATGTACATATAGTGTACATAACTAGTTGATTCATTCAGTTGATTTTTTTTATTGATAAATATTATAGGTACATAATACATGTGAGACACCTCTATGTATATTTATTATGTATGCTTGAAAAATGTTACAAGTACATAATAAATGTACACTGGGTCCATTTGATTTTTTATTTTGGTAGAACTCACTTAATGTGAATGTTATGTACACTTTTTTATTATGTACTCATAATAAATGCTTGAAAAATGCTACAAGTACATAATAAATGTACACTGAGTCCATTTGATTTTTTATTTTGGTAGAACTCACTTAATGTGAATGTTATGTACACCTCAATGTACACCTGTAGCATTTCTCTTTTTATTTTTGTATAGAATCCACTTAATGTGAATGTCATGTACACATCTATGTACAATATTATATATCCATAATATTTCTCAAAAAAATTATAGTTATAAATAATGTTATTATTCTATTAAAACTTAAGTAACTGTGGCGCTGCTTGTTTATTTAAAAAAAAAAAACAATCTCAACTCAAAATCCTATTAACTCAGCTCCATTATCCTGACATAATATCATTCAATTATTTGTACATATCACATCAGTTTCAATTCACTATTCATTCACTGACATATTTTAACCTCTTATTATTTTCAATCGTTTATCTCATACTTTTACATCAATTCAATTTAATCATTTTATTTTAAATATTATTTTAATACAAAATTTAAATTTTCAATTACACATATTAACTTTTTTCAAATAAACCCTAATTAACAAAAACAACTAGTAAAAAACTAATTAATTAGTAAATAAGCGAGGCCTAAACTTTTTTCTATTCCACTAGTAGCACAGCCGGATCTAGTTTTATTTATAATTACACTGTAAAATTTGACCATTGACTAATTGCATGTTTCCAAATTACTTATTGCTCTTTTGCTCATGAAAAGACGGTTAGTCATAATAAATTGTGTCAAATTTTACTCATAAGAAATTTCTTCCATCCATGAGGGAAACATAATTTGTTGAATAAATTTAGTGTATGAAAATTCATGTAGAAAAACATAATTTGCAAGAAAAACAATCCACCCACCATTTATGTGGCTTAAAAAAAAATTAATCATGTGAATTTTTTTCCTAAAAAAATATTTTTATACGTGCAGAGAAATTAATGATTCTTAATCAACCATAAAGTTATCAATAAATGACATGAGAATATAGCCAACTGTAATACAAAATATAAAAATAAATCGTACGATTTAACCTTAAATTCTCGAGTTGTGTTAGAAAGTGATTGGTAAAAAGTCCTACAACTTAACCTTCAATACAATCGCTTCATTTGATGTGAATGAGCATGGGCCGATGAGCATGAATCTATTTGTAATCTTATCTCCACATTTTGATACAAATATAACCAAAAGAGATTCAAAAAAATCCTTCACCATTGAAAACAACCAAACCATATACCATAGCCAAGTCAATGAAGTCGCAACATAACATCATAAAAATTAACCTCTATTTTAGCATCAAAAGCCATTGTCAATCCAAAGCAAGAAACTTTATCGTCGTCCTAGAATATAGATACACAAAAAAATAAAAAAAAAATAAAAAAAACATTGAGTTGATTGTGAGAAGCCCAAAAAGTACCAAATTATACATAACGCCATTACAAATTGAAATATTTATACATAACATTACTTCTCCCAAAGTAAAAGAAGAAGAAGAAGAAGAAGAAAGTAAAATTAGTACCAACTAAATTTCTCTTCATAAAGGTAAAAATAACTGTCTTGGATTCAAACTGAGATCCGTTGTCTTAGTTTGTTCACTTTGTTTTTGTGCTTGTGTTTTTGGTTTGGACCATTTGGTCTCTGTGAGCCGGGATGTGAACTTATTATCCCGGTGGGATCCTACACTCGACCATTATCCTGTTGGGATTTTTTTAATTGTTTTATTTTTTGTTTGTGTTAGTTTCTTTCGTGTAGTTGCGAGTTTGTCTTTCTAGCGTTGCTAGCCGGTTCAAGGCGTCTTAGGATCTGCCTCCTAGTTTTTTAGCCTCTGGTTGTACTATTCAGCTTTGGCTGTTTTCTTTTCGCACTTTGTACGGTTTTTATTAATATGAAACCTCTATTGTTCCATATAAAAAAAATAAAAATAAAAAAATAAAAAAAAAAAAATACTGGGAAATGATGAAAGAGGCTATAAATATTTATATGAATAATTTCTACAAAGCTTATATTAAAGTTTCCAATATATGAGTAACCTCATTATTAACCGAGATAAGGATAGAAGCCTTGATGTACAAAACCATAAAGACGTATGGAGTAGGAACAATCATGCGTCACTTAAGAATTTTCTAAAAATCACTTCTTCCATGAGAAGCACTTCCTCTCTTACGTAAGCGTTGTCTGATATAGCTATGAAATCATTGACTAAAACATAACAAACATAGAAATAACAAAGAATAAAAACACAATTTTTTCTTTTGGGAAAAAAAAAGACCGCCAAGGGATTTCAAATTTCACAACAGAGAAAGTAGTCATTTAACACTATAATATGTTTACAGACACAACTCCAGTGTCCACATCTCTTCATCCTTGCAGGCATTAGCATTGAGATAATTTCAACCAATTGATGCCCTCTCCTTGAATAACTTTAAGGGAAAGAGACCCATCCACGATGTTCATAGTAAGGTACATGCTATTAGGCATCAGTTCAAACTTCTTGTAAACTTCAACCAGCCAATCCACAAGAATGGCCCTCATCTGAGAGTTGAATTCTTTTTGTGAATCCAATGCAGTCGTGAACCCAACCATCATCTTGAACAAGTCCAATTCACAACACATTAGGAAACAAAAAAATGGAGAAAATGGGATGAAAATGGTAAAAATCGTTGGAAGTAATAAATTGAACAGAACAATACTCAACCTTATTAATTATAGAATTTGTAGGTATCATCCACACGCTCGAATTTTCCAGCTCATTACCAATTTGAGAACCCCTGTGGGGCCTTCTTAATCATTACAAGTTTAAGAACCGTACAAATAAGGAAAAAGTCGATGATATATCATTTTTAAGGAATATGTGCAACCAGAATATGAACATCACTTAAAAGAAAAGTAGAAGACTGAAATTCAATACCTCATCCATAAATAAAAGTTTAAGTAGTTCAATAAGCTTCAGTAACATTATGGTGGCTTTCGATTGTGTGAGAATATGTCCTTCCGCTCCCAGATGGCATGTAAGATTCAATGACATCTGGGTAAAAGATTTCTAGCTTGAACCATATAAACAGGTTTTCCCCATTTTTTCTCCATATCATGAGCAAAAACATCTGAAATATTGATAAATTTATTTTCAATTATTTTTCTCCTTTTCACATTTTGTGACACACTTCAGCTTGCTTAGAAATTGGTCCCATCATTCCATTTAACTCATTATAGAAAGTAAACATATATTCTTAATGACATGAAAAAGATTACATCTATAATCTATATAAGCAAAACAACAAGCAGTACTGGTGCTAAAAATTTACTAAAACAGAACCAAAAGAAAATATGGACACAATTCAACTATTTGCCCAATAATAGATTAATTAGTCTAATCCAAGTATAATACAAAGATATAAATATCATGTTAACCCTACATATAATTAGTCCAAAATTTAAGGGAAGAAAAAAATGTCGAAAAAAAAAGTCTGAAAATTAATCTCATCCCTAATCCTCAATGTAATAAGAATATCACCTCCACATCCTTCCCAAATTTTGGACATGTTATCTTTAAAATGCATTACAGATACATCCAAATCAATTAATGATCAAAGCAGTTTACTTTTTCAGTTTGCAAGAAGTTGGGTTTTGAATACTCTCATTTCCTAGTTGATTCAAGGGGTCTAATGGAGGTTTACTTCTATTGTGGGATCAATCAATAAAAGTTTTGAATTTGTATGGGGATAGTTTTTTATAGCAGTGCAGTTTGTGGTTAAGGAAAGGGTGTGTCCTGCCTGGACAATTTTTGTTTATCTAAGTACAGTTAAATATAAAAGAGAACAACAATGGAGATTACCTAGTTTCTACTGCTGGAGATTGGAATGATATTTGCCAAGTTGGAAAGAAAAAGGATGGAAGAATTAGACCAGAATCTAGCTGCTTGGGTTTCAAGAACTTTATAGCTTCTATGGGTATGCAAGAGATCATTCAAAAGGGTCAATTTTATACTTGAAAAAATAACCGAGAGGGGGAGATTTGTAGAAGAAAAGTTGGATAGGATGTTTTCCTCTTTGGGTTGGATTAGTCTTTATCCTTCTGCTCAGGTAACTAGCTGGTTTAGAAGTTCCTCAGATCATTGCATGCTAGTTATTGAGATAGAAAAGAAACTTCCAACTTACAAGAAAAGATTTGTATTTGACAAAAGTTGGATTGCCAAAGAGGGAGTATCTGAAGTGGTGCAACGAGCTTGGGAGAATCAGCACTCAGGCACCCCCAACGTTTACAGTGAAGGAGAAGCTCAAAAAGGCCAGAGAAGCTCTTTTGGTGTGGAGTAAATACTTCAAGACAAAGAATGAAGGAAAGATAAAGAATCTATCAATCCAACTAGAGGAGATGAGAAAAGAAGGAGGTGAAAGAAATTGGGAAGCTTGGGATCGGCTGAAGAAAGAATTGGATGAAGCACTTGTCTTTGAGGAGTTATTTTGGAAGCAGAAAGCTAGGACCTTATGGCTCAAAGAAAGAGATAAAAACTCCAAGTTCTTTCATGCCTACACAGTTTAGAGGAGGAACATAAATGCAATTGAGAGATTGCCAACTGAGGATAATGGGATGTATGAGAATCAGAAGGGCATTGAAAAGATAATATGTTCGTGTAGACATTCCGAAAGTATGGGACTTCTTGATGCGCCGGGACCCACTGATTCTCAACCCGAGATTATTGCAGCAACCTTTTTTTCCTCTTAGGGCTCAAGGAATGGTCAAGATTTTCTGCACTAATCTACAAAACAATCTCAGATTCTATGAATGAAAGACTGCTCTTACCAGTGGAAGAACCAAAGATAAAAAATGCTCTATTCAGTATGCATCCAGAAAAATTCCCAGTGGAAGGTGGAATGACTGCATTATTTTACCAGCATTTCTGGCCCATTGTTAAACTGGATATATGCAGGGTTGTCCAGAGCTTCTTTGAATCCAACCAGATGCTCAGGGAAACACACTCTTATCACTCTGATCCCAAAGTGCCTTAATCTAGTTTATATTTCTCAATTAAGGCCAATAAGTCTGTGCGCTGTATTTTACAAAATTGTGTCAAAAATCCTTGCCTTAAGGTTGAGAAGTTGTTTGTATTCATGTATCTCTATCAATCAAGCTGCATTTTTGCCTAGTAGAAAATTACTTGACAATGTAATTATAGCTCAAAAAATGTTTCACTTTTTGAATAGACACATATTTGGGAAAAAATGTTTTCTTGCTTTGAAATTGAATATGGTCAAGGCTTATGATAAAGTAGAATGGAAGAGTGTTCTTTTTACTATGCTAAGAATGGGATTTCATTCTAGATTGTCAAATAGATAATGGCATATATTGATTTCCCTACTTATTCTTTTAATGTAAACGGGAAGTTGTGTGATTTTGTGTGTGCATCAAGAGGCCTAAGATAGGGGGACCCTTTGTCCCCCTACCTTTTTATTATAATTGTTGAGCTGTTTTCTTCAAGGCTTAACATGGAAGCTGACAGATGTGGGTTTAAAGTACCAGACTGTCTAGAGAGGGCCCTTTGTTGACACACCTCTTATTTGCAGATGATTCTTTAGTTTTTTGCAAGGCAGAGGAATTCCATACTACCATAATCTTATCTATTCTGCAGTCTTACCAGTCCTTCACTGGCCAGTATGTTAACTTGAAGAAATCTTCGATTTTCTTTAGTAAGAACACCACTGTTCAAGTCCAAGAGAGATGTTGTAGTTTGCTTAATGTTGTTAAAGTTCACCTTCAACTAGGTATTTGGGATTGCCTCTGGAGATTGGCAAATCCAAAAAGGAAGCTTTCAGTTACATACTCTCAGTGGTAAGGAACATAATTCTCAGTTGGAAAAACTATTGCTTCTCAACTGCAGGTAATGAGGTTCTAATTAAAGCTGTCCTTAATGCTATACCTGTTTTTGCAATGTCTTGCTTTATGTTGCCAATGAGCATTTGTGAGGAGATTGCCAGTATTTGTGCTCACTTCTAGTAGAGCAAAGGGAGTGACAGACAGAAGGGCTTGCACTGGCAATTTTGGCACAAATTGACTCTCCCAAAAAAACTATATATAGAGGGTTGGGTTTTCAAGATATTCAATTGTTTAATGAGGCACTTGTGTCTAAGCAGCTTTGGAGAATTTTGTCTGAACCAGACCTTTTAGTCAACATAGTGCTAAAATCAAAGTATTTCCCTAATTCATCTATATTTGAGGCACAGAGGAAGCAGAACTCATCCTGATTGTGGAACTCTTGGCTGACAATACTGAAAACTAGTGCTAACTGGATGCAGGTTCAAACCAGAAATGGCATGGACACTAGAAGTTTTTCCCAAAATTGGATTCCTTTATCTTGGTGCAGAGAAGTAAGGCTGAGAACAGATAGAGATTGCTCACTTGTCTAGGTAAGAAACTTGATGAATAGGAGGGGACCAGTTGGTATGAAATGAAAGTCAGACAAGCTTTTCATCCTAAGGAAAGTGAGGCCATCCTACAAGGTATCTCAATCCACCCAGACTTGAGGGATAGATGGATCTGGGCTCTTGATAAGAAAGGTAAGTTTTATGTGGCTTCTACCTATTCTCATTTCATTGATGAAAAAGTACATAAGTTGGATAGGGCCTAATCCAGTAAGGACTTTGCAAGGGACATTTTTGTGAGAAATAGAAGTTGGGGCCTAAAAGTGAAAGGGAAAATTAAACATTTTATATGAAAATGATGAAATGGGATTTTTTACATGTGAATCTAAATATGATTGCCAAAGGTTTAGATATTGATGTTGTTTCTAAAGACTGTGTAGAGGCTGAGGAGTCAATTGTTCATGTGTTCTTTCATTGCCCTAAAGTTAAGCATGTCTGGAAAATAGCCCATTGGGAGGAACCAAAAATGTCGGATTCATTTCAGATGTGGTGGCGGAAAATATGTTTTTGAGGCCAGAATTCAGCTGTCTACGTACATCCTGTGGTGGTTTTGGAAGCCCCAGAATCTTTGGCAATATTAAAATGTTTGGAGACATACTCCTCAAATTGTCATGGCAGCCAATCACGAGTGGAGGGAGTTCTTGGTCAGTTTGGGTTTGTAGGTCTGTAGCTATTGTTATGGTTGTTTTGAGTTGTTGCTAGGATCTTTGATCAATAGCCACTTCTCCTAGGTTTGTTTTGTTTTTCTGTTTGTATGTAAGGGAGCAAAGGTTCAACTCTTAGTTTGCTGCTTTGTTCCCTTAGTTTTCTTGCTCTTTGTTTGTTTAGGGCACTTGCGTGTGGTTCTCCCATCGTCGGCTATATTCAAACTTTGTCCGATTGTATTCAAAAGTTGGTTTTGGTTCATTTGAGCTTCTCTATCGTTCTTGAAAAAAAAATATAGTAATGTACACCTAGTCTATTTTAAGACATGAACAATAGGCTCAATAAATCAGAGAAATTATTATTGTAATGAAACTTCTTATTTTGTTAAAGTTCAATTTAGATTTATTTATCTATTTGGTACAAGTTCAATTTAGATTTAATTAGTAAAACGAAATATTATTTGTTTCCTAAATAAATAAATAAATAAATAAAAAACAATCCATTCGTCGTCCGGGAATCGGAAAATGCACCACAAGCCTACTACTCTGCTCCTTCAACCAAGGCGTCCTTTACCATTAGACTTTTCGCCCAAATCAATTCCCAATACTTTGAATCTATTACTCTGACAAACAATCAAATACAATTGCTCATTGGGCTTGAAAAACAAAAGAGGCGCTGGAGCAGTATCAACAGCATTGAACAATTATTTAATCTTCTTCTCCCAAGAACTCTCATAGAATTACACAACACAAATTGAACGCTCGGAATTAATAAACTAAAAACTGGTGGTAAAATCAAAAAACATAATTTGATGAAATCAATTGGACCCTTCAGGCAACGAGGTCATCCTCCTTGTGCGTCTCAATAACGACATCCGAGGTCGGCCTCGCCACGCAGGTGAGCACAAAGCCAGCTTTGATCTGGTCATCGTCCAGGAAGCTGCCGTCGTCCTGGTCCACTGTGCCGCTCACTATCTTCCCCGCGCAGACCGAGCACGCGCCGGCGCGGCACGAGTAGGGCAGATCGTGGCCGAGCTCCTCCGC